GGCAAGCAAGGAAAAAGGCATGGGGAGGGAGGAGGTTGAAAGCATGTTTTCCTGCACTGCCCCCTTCTGTGTGGCCTGTGGCATTGCTGGCGGGGCTGGGGCGATGCTTCAGACATGCCATCTGGGCCCCTAGCACTGCCGGAGCTACTGCCGCACCGGGGCCTCTTTGGGTGCAGCTGGGCAGGGGCTTGAAAATCTCTGCTGGGGCTTCCAGGCATTCGGTCCCAGGCCACTCCGGACGGAAGCATGGTCCAGATTAGCATGCAGTGCCACCGAGGCTTCAGGCCGAGGGCCGCTCCCACCCTTCCGAGCAGCCTTCCCCAACCAGGTGCCCCTCCTGTGTGTTCGGCTGCCATCGCCACCAGGATGCTGGAGGTGCGGTGCCAGCACTTGTGGCGGTTCCACGGTCCTGCCGGGAAGGAGGACCCGTGCCTCCCCAGGGCTGCCTTCACGCCGTGTCTCTGCTGGTCTCGCCTCCTCAGCTGGGACCACACGCTTCGGTGTGCAGGGCGTGTTCCCCGTTCGGGAGTCTTCCTGTGCGAGCCACCCCTTCGGGGGCTTCCGAGTGGATCGCGCAGGCCCCCACGCCACCTGGAATCCGGAGCAGCCGTTGCCGAGGCCGGGAACAGGCTCGGTCTGCACAGCTGCAGAGCTGCCGGCGGCCTGTGGAAGCCAGATGCAGGCCACCCGGCACCCTCCAGAGAGTCAGGCCTGCAGTCCCCGTCAGCCCCAGCCCACGTGGCCAGGGATCATGGGAGCTGTAGTCCAAAGCATGTGCAGGGCACTGGGTCGCCTGCACGGCTGAGCGTCGGGGTGGGCCCGCTCTGCACGCACAGGCATGTCCCCGTCCCTCAGGTGTGGGCGAGGGCCGCTGCTTGCTGGCGAGCGGACACTTTGCTCAGCCGGGCTGCCAGCTCCGACCCCAGCATCTCCGCGGCCAGGACGGGCCTTGCTCGGCACCGGGACACACGCTCCGTGGAGGGGCGTCTGCCGGAGTGCCGAGAGCTGTTGCCAGGCAGCCCGATCTCCACCGCGTGAGGTGGACCTGCGGCCTCCTTTGGGATCAGGCGGCCGCCTCCGCGCCGATCGCTAAATCTCTGCTCGCTGCTACAACCTCCGTCTCCTCATTAGATCTCGTGCAGCCGCAGGAGAGCTGGAGCTGTTCTGCACATGCTAATGACACGGTGGAAGAAGACGACGGGGCCCTGGGGGCAGGAGAGCGGGGCCGGGGGGGGGAGGGGGAGGGGGAGAGTCCCCCTCCCTGCCGGGTGCTTGCATGGGGGGGGACGGTCAGCTCAGGTGTGCAGCGGGGGTGGGAATGCTGCGAGCTGGAGCCAAGGGGGGCGGCAAGAGCCCGGCCATGCGCGGCTGCTTCTGCCGGCAATTAAGTGGCCGCGCTGTAATTAATGCTGGCGTTGTGGCGGGCAGGGCGTCCCAGGGGAGCCCTGGGGGCTGGCGGAGAGCTGTCACAGGCAGGCACTTGCCTCCCCATGGGTCTCTCCTCCCTGCTGCTCGGCAGCTGGGAAGGGCCGCTCGGGAGGCAGGCTCTTCCGGCAGACTACGGAGAGGCAGCATTGCCTCTGTGCTTGCACAGAGCGAGGAAGAGGGGCCTGGCCTGGCGTGGGGCCCTTCCCCCTCTGCACACGGCTGGGCGCACGGTGTTCTGTGCAGCCTCCGCCGAGCAGCAGGAGGCGATGTGGAGAGCACATTGCTTTGCACGCTGGCATTGCGGCTCCGCGGGAAGGAGAGTAGGAACGCGCAGCCCCGGGCAGTCCGAGGGATGACATGGGAGGGAAGGCTGGTGCTGAGCCTGCGGTCGCTGGAGACAAGCGCACTCGCAGGTGTGGGAGAGCAGCTTCTGGAGAGAACATCGGAGGAGGGCAAGGGCCAAGGCCAGGGCTAGGATCCACTTTGTCGTGAGCTGGGTGTTCCCTCCCCAGCAAGACAGACTCTCCAGCCCCTCTTGTAAGCGTCTTTGTTCTACAGAGACGCCTCTAAGCATTCACAGGTCTCTGAGCATACACAAAGTGAGATGTTGAGCCCTCTCTGCCCCCTTTTACCCAAAACTTTGCTTATGAACGCTTCTGTCTTGGGAAGGAGGGCTCTGTGGAACTGGGCATGCCCGCGTTCTTCACTCCGAGACCCAGGTTGGGCCACCCTGCGGCTGTGACGACGGACCGTTGGGTCCATCTCCTCCGGGAGCTGTAGTTCGTCCGAGTAACTCTCCACCTCCAAATCCTTTTCCCTCCAGATGTTGTCCTTCATTCCCACTGGCAGCTGAAAGGGCCTGTGTGTTCTAGCAGCCATTTCAGGAACGGGTGAGCCCCCACCCCAAGGTCGCCCTAATGCAAGGATGTCAAAAAAGCCCTCCAAATTCGAGCATGTCCCTCAGGCCAAGTGTTGGGAGACCCTGGCATGCAGCTTGCCTTCCTTAAAAAAAATGCGAACAGTGTATGTTTTTCTCCTTCAAAATACACCTTCGCACGCAGAAGTGTCACGGTTCTTCCTGCTGAAGCAGAGCCATTCTCTTTGCGGGCCCTTTCCCCAGATTCTGCTGCCTGGATGTGCAGCTGGGAAGCAGAAAAGACCATGGCTTCAAAGTGGCGCCAGCCAGAACGTGGAGCAGCTTTTCCGTAGTGGCTGCCAGAAATCCTCACCTTTTCACCATCATTTGTGGGTTCAGCTCTGAAATGAATGCAAACTGCTGCTGCCTTTGCTCTGTATTTGTTTCATGGAGCTGAGAATGTTGTACTTGACTCCTTGATTGTATATGTGTAGCTTGCATGCTTTGACGGCCACCTGGAGGAAAGGAAGCAGATCAGTATTAGGAGGAAATGCAGAAAAACGGCCATGGCCACCTCGATATTACTCGGATCTTCCTGAATTTTTGCCAACGTGCAAAATTTTGGCAGGACGATTCTCCAGAGGTGGAGATCACCACTTGCTTTGCTGATCCGGCTTGTTCTCATTGCCATTCTTTCCCCGCTTCCTAAATCCCAGTCTAATTCCTTTGCATTTGCCAGCTTAGAGACCTGAACAGTTGCAATGCTTTTCAGTCTCAAATCATTGCAGCTGGTCTGTGCCGAAGGGTTTTGAGCCCCCTGCAACGCTTTGGGGTCCCTTGCTGTTGGGAATGAGTCGCTGCAGCAAACGGCACGGGAACACGCGTGGAGTGTCTTGCCCGGTTCCCCGGATTCAGAACTTGTCAGTTCTGAGAAATGGGGTTGCAAGATGGGAGCAGGGTGATGTTGCAAAGGAGTCGCCTCGTTCGGCTATCCCTACAACCCAAGTTTTCTTTGTAAAAACTTGCCCTGCTGTGGTTCTGGCTGGCCGGTCACTCCCACTGCAAGTGACTGGGATCAGTCCCTGGATTACCCTGTCCCCGGGTTGTTAAGCATGACATGTTATCCAGGAATCAAGGGTTGTTGAAGGAGAGAGAACTCCAGGTTGGAATGCTTGGTTTAACCCAACAATTCCTGGTCCATGCATCATGCTTAACAACTGGAGCACCCGTGGGTTGTTTAGCCCCGGTGAGAGCAATCGGTTAGTAAGAACCAGCACGCTTGCTGGCTCATTCTCCATCCGCAGCAACCCAGGTCTCAAAGCAAAACTCTGAGTTCTTGTGACAACCAAGCCAGGCTGGCTCAGCATCCTGGTCTTGTGCAGAAGCCCAGAGGCCATGGTGAGGCAGGGTGGCATAGGGGTCGCAGCTTCTGGGTGAGTGCACCATGTGGGCAACCTACTCCAGCCTGGTATAGCCCAGACCAAAGGCCTTTGTGCTGGTTGATTTTGCACCTGTGGAAGAAAAGACCATTGGGGTCCCCTGGTCTTTTTCCATGCAGAGGGAAAAGCATCTGCATGCAGGGTGGGTGTTGTAGGCGAGATTTTACGGACGAGACCGGAGACTGGTTGGAATTATCGAGAGAGATTTATTTTTACCTGCCGGCAGGGACCATGCACTCGTGAGAGTATGGTAGCAGGCAGAGGGGAGACATTTGATTTTTATACTCTTTTACACTTATGCTTGAATGACAGCGAACAATAGGGGAACAACAGAAAACAATGGGGGGACAACAGATAACAATGGGGGAACAACAGAGAAACAATAGGGGAGAGCACATTTTGCCCATTTATCATGCAAAAGCAAGCAAGCGTGGGTACAAGGGCATAATGTCTGCGGCGATACTGGTAATGCTGGAGCGAAGCCTGCTTTGTTATCAGCTTAGCATAGCGTGCACATCCGTGTTCGTGTTCTTGTTCTTCATGAGAACAAGAACACTCTGACCATGCTTCTAACTTGTGATGAGCTGTGCCCTGGCTACGTGTATGATCATGCCTGATCATGAGGGGGGTTACAACAGTGGGCAAGCAGGGATGAAGAGCGGGGGGCCAGGTAGCGCCTTCCACCACCCTTCTCCCAATCAAAGTGGCAGCCACCCTTGACTGACTCCAGGGCCAGTGCCATGTTTTGTATGGCGTCGGCTTCCATCTTGGAAGAGTTCCTTTGCTTGCCCCACGACCCGAGGACAAGAACCAGCTTTGGTTAGTTCAGGAAGGCTTCTTGCAGTGGTGCTGTCTTCCCTTTCCTCCTACATTGGCTGGCTGCTTCCTCTTCCTCCTCTTCTGTGCATGTCGTGAGTGGAGCCGGCTCGGCTGGAGCCGGGGGTCGGACTAGATGGCCGAGGAGACCCCTTCTGACTCGCTCTGTTTCTGTGTTTCTGTTTCTTTGCCTTTGTGCTGCCTGAGCAGGGCCAGCGCCGGGGACAGGCAAGGTTGGGCTCCTGCCAAGGGCCGACATGCCAGCAGAGGTCCACCAACAGTCTGCCCTCTATGATCACTCTGGTGGTTCGGAGAAAAGTGGTGGAGCCAGGCTCAATGGCGTGGCCATCAGGAGAACCCCAGAGGCCTGGCCCTGGAGCTCCGATGGGCCAGGTTTGGACCTGGGGTTTAGTTCCTGTGTTCCTGATGCAAGCAGACTTGGCCTTCCTTCTCTCTCTCAGATTTATCGCCGTTGCTGGCTGGTCTTCCGGAAATCTTCCAGCAAAGGTCCACAGAGGCTGGAGAAGTACCCAGACGAGAAGTCCGTGTGCTTGCGTGGGTGTCCAAAGGTGAGTCCTCACTCTCCTGGTTCCTGGGGAGAAGGGGCTGGGGGAGAGCAGAGCGCAGTGGGGCCCGCCAAGAATCCCCTGGCACGGTCGCGAGCGTGCCTCATTCCCTGCAAGGGGTGTCTGGGGATCTTCCGAATGGGCCCCCTCCGACACAGAGCTGGCTTGCAGTTTGCCCGCTCCACTGAAGTTGGCCAAGGCTTCCCAGTTTGGCGACATTCTCATTATCGCTGAATGTTTCCCTGGGGCGCCATCCAGTCCACGTGATGTTGCATGCTGGAAAAATACCGCTGCCCAAGAGAGCCGTCTGGCAAAAATAACTTTGTTTATGTGTTCGGAGAAGCTCTTTCTCCTTGGCCTCTCCGGCTTTCTCACCTGGCAGCCAGGAGTTCCTCCTCGGCCTTCTACCTGTGTTCCCCCAACACCATCCCAATTCCTCAGATTCCTCTTCTGAGTTTAAAACATAGGATAACAGCAGCCAGAGTCGCCATCGCAACAAAATGGAAAGCAGAAAAGAAGCTAGCCATGTACTCAGCAATGGCAAAATGAACCAGCTGTATAAATCAAAGACCGGTCAAAGAATGTAATGACAAAAGAAACGCTTATTATACATATGTTACTTAACAATTGAGGGGGAAAAATAGAACTTACGTAGAGATGACGTAGCTGACACATTTATTAACCAGCTATACAAATAGAAAACTGGATAAAGAGTTTAACAATACATGGAAAGTTTATTATAAAAATTTTATTTAGCTATTGTGAGAAAAAACAGAACGTACAGAAATATTATCAGTGAATCATGATTTCAATAAAATGCTTCGTTGCCACCTAAAATTAATTTTAAAGGGATGGAAAATAAGTTAGTATTAAGTATTATGAATTAGAATAATTGCTTTATGAATTTAATAGCTTTATTACAATATTGTCTTATCTGGGAAGAAAAAAGACAAAAATTACAAATTGTTGGTTGGTTTGTGAATGTGTTATAAGGCGATTTTTTTACATCCATGTCAAAATATTTTTCTATGTAATAGTCTTAAATAAGTCTTAATTAACTTAACTAAGTATTATTTTTAATTAAGTATTATTAAGTTAAAATTGTAGATGTCAGTTTGGTAGAGGTAATCATAACTATTGCCTTTTTGTGAAATTTTGCAAATTTGGTACAATATGTAATATTTGTGCAAGGTCCCTTGGTACCTCTTTCTTTCTATTTTCTTAAAAAGAAAAAAAAAGGGATTCCTCTTGTGAGTTTGGGGATGGTGCCAGCTGCACTTTGCACAGAATACCAAGAAGAGCAAAGACAGCGGGGGACAGGAGCCATTCCCCCGCTGCATGTTTCCCTTCCGCAAGGGCTTCACGCGCATAACGTGCAGCTGGCCTTAGCCTTGAATTTTCCACTGTCGTGGAAGCCTGTGAGGCCCCGATTCAGGCTGCACCCGCTGCAGGCGAGTCGAGCGAGGGGTTTCTGCCGCACTGCTTCCCCCACAGCACGTGGGATTCATGTTCTGCATTAAACCTGCATTAAGGCTAGCGGAGTGTCCCCTTTTCTTTCCCTCATACAGAAGGAGGGATTTAGCCCCCTGTGGGTGGAGGGGAGCAGGTGGGAAGGCACGCCCTCCGTGCCGTTTGTGTGTGCGTGCGTGATGGTCCGGATCTGGACTGAGGCCTTGCATGCGTACACAAAGGTTAAAAAAAGCTAGCATGAGCGCCATGCTGTGCATTTAATCTGTGTGGTTTCGTTGTAAGCCCCCCTGCTGAGGTTACTCTTCACAAATCCTGGAAGCAGGACTGCTGGAAAACAGAGCTGTCCAGGCCAACTGTTTCTCCCTGCAAAGCAGGGCCTCCTCTGCCCCTCCTAGGCCATCCTGCAGAACCAGGGCTTGCTGGCCCCCTCACCCAGCTGGCTGGGTTTGGGGAATTAAAAAATCTGGGCCTCCCCGCAGGTCACAGAAATTAGCAACGTGAAGTGCATCACGCGGCTGCCCAAAGAGACCAAGCGCCAGGCCGTGGCGATCGTCTTCACGGACGACTCGGCTCGGACCTTCACCTGTGACTCAGGTAGGCGGCCGCTGCCAGGTGTGGGGCTTGCCCTGGTCGTTCCGGAGGGGCGGGCAGCGACGGTGCCCGGGCAGGGTTGGCGGGGATGAGCGAAGGCGGGATTCCGACCAGGCGTGCCTGACTTTGCAGAACTGGAGGCCGAGGAGTGGTACAAAACGCTGTCCGTCGAGTGCCTGGGGGCGCAGCTCAATGACATCAGCCTCGGCGAGCCGGACCTGCTTGCGCCCGGGGTCCAGTGCGAGCAAACAGGTATGGGAGCCGGGGGCCCGGGTTGCGCTGGCCTAGGCTGGGAGCTGAAGCCTTTCCCGCAGGCGGGGGCAGGCCCCAGCGAGGTGCTGCGGAGGGTGGGGGCGTGCTTGGGAGTTGTAGTCTCGCACGGGGAGACGAGGCTGGGAAAGGCTTCTTCTCCTGGAACGAGCAACGGGCGCTGCTCCGCTTCAGGTGGAGCAGAGGAGCGGCGCCGATGCCCTGAGCCGCTGCCTGCGTTCCCCCGCAGATCGGTTCAACGTCTTCCTCCTGCCGTGCCCCAACCTGGACATCTACGGTGAATGCAAGCTGCAGATCACGCACGAAAACATTTACCTGTGGGACATGCACAACCCCCGTGTGAAGCTCGTCTCCTGGCCCTTGTGCTCACTGCGCCGCTACGGGCGAGACGCCACGCGCTTCACCTTCGAGGCTGGCCGGTATGCCCCTTCGCTGCCTTTGGGCTTCGCTGCTGTCGGGCCACTGGCCGTCCCCAGACGCAGAAGGCAGACAAGGCTGGGTAGATCGGGGGGTCCGTGCGGTGTGGAACGGGGCGGGGGGGCAAGGAACCGGTTCCCGCTCCGCATGGCGGGCGTCTTGGCAGCAAACGGGCACATAAGCCGGGAGCTGGACCTGCCGGTCGCTTTGGCAGCCCGGCATCCTCAAAGGGTTGCTGTGCGGATAAAAAGGAGGGGTGGGGGAGCATGGGAGCTGGGGAAGCGCCTGGCCTGGGGGAGGCACCCCTCTGGCGCACCAGTTCCCCTCCCCTCTGGTCAGAGTGTGCAGATGCCGGATGCCGGCTGGGGAAAGCTGCAAGTCGCAGGGTTTTTCTCTCTAGTCGTGTGAGGATTGCACCCTCGCTGCGTAGTTCTGCTTGTGCATTTTTGCCTTTCTCACACGTGTGGTGTGTGCACACTCATCCACATATCTCCTTTCTTCATTTTTGATTTAGAAGGAAGGAAAGAAGAGGGTCAGCTTGTTCTAAACTGTATCACTCGCCATCAGAGTGCTGCACTCAGAGGTTGCGCTTACCCCTGTTGCTTTCTGGTGTCACCTTGCTTTCGAAAAACCTCATTTCATTTTTTGGGAGGTGCTTCTGAAAAGAGCAGGGCTGCCCCTTTGGAAAATTGCCTTCCCCCTTCCTCCTGCTGATTGCAGAGTGCATGTGTGTGAGAGCGAGCACATGTGTGTGTGCGCACACGTGTGTGCAAAGGAACGATGGCATGTTGCCCCACAAGGGTTCGTCCACATCCATTGGCTGGGCAATCAGAGGCGGCTCCTTGGAGTAAAAGGGTTTCTGCAGGGCACCGCAAACGGCACGGCGTTGCATGCCGGGGGCTGGAGTTCAAAACCGTTTGGCTCACCTGTGCTCCAGATGCGTCTGTCTGGGAAGAGCTGTAAATCTCTGTCCCAGGGAGCGTTTTCCAGGATCCATGAGGATGGAGCATCATGTGCTGGGGAAAAGGAAGGGCTCCTGCCACGCCCCCCCCCCCCCACGTGGAGTAAAGCTGAGCTGTTTTCTTCCCTCATTCCATGGCAAGAGTTTAAGCCCTGGCTCCAGGAAGTGTGTTCCCAGGGGCTCTTGGCCATTCCCCTTTCCAGGCCCCCATTCCTAAAATTTGCAAACCGAGTTGGGCCACCCCAGTCTGCACCTATTAGCCTCTCCGGCTAATTATCATCTACAAAGGAAAGTCATTTGATCTTTCTTCCTTTTATCCCAGACCTTCACTGACTCATTAGGCCTGGCTTTTATGCAGAGATTAGAGCAATTCTTCCCACCCTGGAACAGGCCTTCCTAACAATAGACCTGCTTGTTTCTTTGGCAGGGACTGGAGGAATCGCCCACCCCGCAGGGAAGGCATGCGTTCACTCACCCCCTGCTTTCCCACTGTGGGGGGACCTTGGCCGTGGAGGAAGAGTGGGGGGGTTGCGGTGACGAGCGGGAGGGAGGGAGCGTGCCATGGGCCGCTTGGCTTCTGCCAACGCAACAGTCCCGTGGTTCTGGAATGAAACCTCAGGCGAGCAGGAGGGGAAAGGCATGTGGGCAGAAGGCCAGCTCTGCCGGTGGGATCAGCTGCAGCAGACCTCCTCAGGGTCCTTGTTCTTTCGGTCATCACATGGTGGGGTAGAGGGTCTCCTGGCGAATTGGGGCCCCAAATGAAAGGTTTGGGGCTGCCATAGAGAGTTGGGAAACTCCGCTAGAGTAATTTAAGTGGGGGCTTTTAAAAAGCCAGTCAGTTCCCCACAAAACCCTTTGCTTTACTCTCTAGCAGCTGCATCTGTCCTCGGGGAAAGGTTCTGTTTGGATCCTGCCCTTTCCAAGAGACGAGGCCACCAGCAGCTTGGGAAGTCCTCTCAGGCTGGTTTCCATGAATAGCATAACTTGCTTGCTTGCTTGATTTGTTCATTTAAAACTTTTCTAGACTGTCCCATTACCGAAGTCTCGGGACGGGTTAACAGTACAAATGTAAAAACTAAAACACAGCATCCTAAAAATTCAGCTAACACTAAAACCCCAATTAAAACAGCCAGGTCTTAAAACACTGGGAAAATTAAAAGGGTTGGGTTTTTTGGTTTGGTTTGGTTTTTGGTGTTAAAAGGTCGACACCATTCATTACTTTTTTCTTTACCTTTTATGCAAAAGGATAGACTTGCGAGACTTTGCAAACAGCAGGGACACAAAAGGGAGAAATGCACAAGTGGAATTACGGGTATTTAAGGCAAACCTTGCGCATGCTTGCAGAGAAGAAGTATTACAGTTCCCAGCATTTGGGGAATCGTGCGCACCTATGATCGTGCCCCGGCTGGGTCGCTGCGGCCCTCCTTCGCCCCGTCCCTGAGGCTCTCCGGGAGGCACAAGAGCAGCCTCTGTTCGTTCACCAGGGTGGCAGGAAAGGTCCTTCTGGTGTGGAGCGGGAAGGCGCCCCCCCCCCCCCCCCGCCCCCCCGCTGATGCGCCACTGTTCTTTGCTCAGCAGGATGTGTGACGCAGGGGAAGGGCTGTACACCTTCCAGACCCAGGAGGGCGAGCAGATCTACCAGCGCGTCCACAGTGCCACCTTGGCCATCGCCGAGCAGCACAAGCGCGTGCTGCTGGAGATGGAGAAGAACGTGCGGGTGAGCATCGGCGCGGCGAGGAGGCAGAGGCCCCAGCACGCCGGACGTCCTGCACACGCGCGTGCGTGGGGCGGCCCCCCGACATCGGCAGAGCACCCCTCTGCCCACGCGTGCGCACACTCGCGCAACTGTGGATACACGCACACGCCGGCAATCGCAGTATCCGTGCCTCCTTCCTCTGCAGAAGGAAAGGAGCTCCCTGGATGGGATTTCAGGAGAGGGGGGAAATGGATCACGGGAGAAGGGGAAATTTAGCAGCGGTTGCAGGTCAGGCCGTGCGTGGTCCCCTGTCTGCAGAACACATGCCCGTTATCCAAGGACACTCTAGGCCAGAAGGGCATTCATTCATTCATTCATTCATTCATTCATTCATTCATTCATTCATTCATTCACTGAAAGCTTTTATAGACCATTCCGTTACTAACGTCTCAGGACATTTTACAACAAGCACAGATAAAAATGACACAGCATCCAGCAATGTATGAATTTATACTCATATTTAAAGGCCACCTATAACTACTGAGGCATTTCTAGGCAGCTTAGAGTACATTAAACATATTAAAACATAATAAAACACATTAAAAACTAATGTGCATTAGTTTAATGCATTAACTAATGCATTAAAATATCTATAATAACAGTATACTATTATACTATATACACAGGAGACCAAAAATATATACACATTTTAAGAGAAGTTGTCTATGCATTACTTTTCAAAGTGGAATTGAATTACAGAAGCAATGTGTACATTCGCTGGCATTCGCTCAAAAGATGGCGTTGATCAAATGAATGCCAGCGTCACCATGCGACGGTTTTTAATGCAGTTTTTTCCTTTCTTAAAATGTGCATGCATTTTTGGCGCCCCCTGTATATTGCGGGTGTGGAAGGGGCAGCCTGGGAAGACCAGTTTCGGCACTGCCCGGGTGTGGGAGCGGAGGCGTCTTCCAGGCGCCTGGCGTTTTCGCGGAGCCCTTGCTCCAAGCACCTTCGCCACACGCCGTGCCCCTCTGACCTGGGAAATCCCCTCCCCTCCCCTCCCCTCCTGCAGCTGCTGAACAAGGGCACGGAGCACTACTCTTACCCCTGCACTCCCACCACGATGCTTCCGCGCAGCGCCTACTGGCACCACATCACCGGATCCCAGAACATCGCCGAGCCTTCCAGCTACAGCGGTGAGTTGCGCTCCTCCACAGGAAGGATCCGGGCTGTCCCCTTCTCGTGTTTGCGCAAGAGCGAGCCGCGCATGGGCCCGGGGGACTCCCCTGCCCATCGCCAATGGAACCTCCCCTCAGCTGCCCCGCTGCCACCTAACCGACTCTGCAGCGTGGCGTGGCTTTCGTTCATGGCACGGGGTCCTGCAGCCCCGTCATGACCCCCCAGAAAGTGGCGGTGTGGCCATGGCGGGGGCCCAACAGATGCTGCTCGCAGCAGCATCCTTCTTCACTTTTCCGGCGCGTTGTGTAGACAGTAAGTGACCAGCCAGGCTGATACCTGGCTGCAGATGCGTCTTCTATTCTTTCTACTTTTAAACGATGATACTTTAATCTTTTCTATGATGCATTTCTGCAAGCGGACGCTCAGCCTCTTGTCTTCCACAGGCGACACGTACCCAGGGCCCCAGGCCAGCTCAGAGACAGACCTCCTCAACCGTTTCATCTTGCTGAAGCCCAACGCCCCGCAAACCAGAAGTGGCGAGGGCAAAGATGCAGGCAGCACTTCGCAGTGACGCATGCATGCGGCCGACCCCGTTCCCGAGGATCTGTGGATCCGATCCCTGCTGCTTTCCTGCCACCAGGTCTCTGCGGTTCGGGGACCACCTTTTGCCGTGGGGAAAAGAGCAGAACGTGCACAGAGCTGGCTCCAAGGAGAACGGCCCGGATCCGGGCGCTTGGCCCCAGCAGCCTGAAGCTTCAGCCTGGTGGGCAGAACCTTGCTAGGACCAGAATGACGGCCAAAGCCTGGCTGAGAGGATGAGAATTAGCGATATATTGTTACAACTATTTTAAATATATAATATTGCTTATGCATATTCTATATATCAAGAGATTTTTCCCACACAAATGCACATTTCTTAGCCATCAAGGTGAGATTTTTAAACGCTTGGAGGGCGGGCAGGTGTTCGCCCTCCCTTTCCAAGGGACCGCAACGCCAGGTTCCAAGGGGAAGAGTTTTCCGTCAGACGAGATGAAGCCTTTCCAGAGCAGCGCCTGGAAGCAGAAGGACCTGAGTTCTTGTGCAGACTGTTTTTCTGTTGGTGCGAGTTGGGATGCGTAAGGGCTTTGGCACAAGCCTCCAGGAGAGGAGGCCTTTCTGCTGCATGCCAGGGTGGTGTCGATCCTCAGTGGACCATTTGCTGAAACAGAAACTGGGTCTTTGGGAGGCCAAAATCGGAGCCATCCCACTGCTGAAACCAAGCGAAGGACATACGGGGTCTTTGCAACTCCTCAAGTGCGTGCATCTCTGAAATGCTGCTTGTACAGAAACACAGTGCTCTCCCCAGCCCAGGCAGGGGATGGTGTGAATTGTAGTCCAACTGGGCTGCGGACGATGGGGGTTGTAGCCCATTTGGAAGAGTGGGGGGCAGGCTGTAGTGGATGTTCGAGATGACTCGGGAGAAGCCAGGGTTTTTGTTTGCTTTTTTCCAGGCTGTGACGTCTGCACGGATTTCCCTTCTCCCGCCTGGCCTTCCGAGGGAGGGAGCAGCGCCGGCTCTCTGGGTCCGGCAAGCCCACTCAGGATGCGGTGGGCATGTGCGGCGTGCCCCGCCAGCCCCGGGAGCATTTTGCTCGTGCCCCGCCTCGCGGACATGGGCCGGCCGGCCGCAGGTGGCAGGGGGCCGCTGTGCTGCCTTCCCTTGACTCACAGGTGCTATTCTGCGGGCAGCGGCCCAGGCGAGGGCGGCGGGCCGTTTGGGGCTGCCTCGCCCACAGCGGCCCGTCGGGAGGGTCTTGCTGCATTCCACTCGGAGAGCCCCTCCGCCCTCCGACGGGCCCTGCGCTGGATGCCCAGCCCCCTTCCTGCCCTCCCAGCCAGCCGGCACCCTTTCTCGCCAAGGCCCTGCACGCAGCCAGCCCGGACCTTCCCTCGGCTGGCTGGAGACAATCAATCGGCCGCAAGGCCCTGGTTTTCCAAGGCGCACCAGGCCCCCCGGCTGCTGCTCCATCTGCCCCAGATCCAGCCTCTGCATTGACAGAGGGCAAGCCATGGGGTGGCCAACGTTTCCCTTTGCCCCTGCTCTTGTGCCCATGACGGCATCTTGATCACAGGCCACCGACAGTCGCCACAGTCCTCTCGATGCCCGGAAAGGCTCTGCCTGCTCCCTTGAGCACCATTTTTTAGCAGAGAGACAGGATACGACCCTCATGGACAACTGACGCGTGTCTACAGATTGGGCAGCTGGCAGCCCAGCCCCCCTGTGCCCACTGCCGGTACCCAGCAGGGCAGGGCTGGGCAAGCTGCACCCCCCTGCCGCCCCAGCCTGCAGTGCCCATCAGCCTGAGCCAGCACAACCAGAAGCGGGGCACCCCGGAGTGCTGGGCCAAAGCACCAGGGTGGGGGGGCACCAGCCCCACAGGAGTCACCTTGGTCTTCCCCCCACTTCTCTAGCCATTCTCCACCCCCCCACCCCCGTCCGGGTGACAATTTTAAGAGGAATTAGTAAAACGCTTTCACAGAGTGGCTGGATTTTCCTATGCTGAACTTTCAAAAAAGCAATTGATTTTTCTAGTTTTACTATTTATTGAATAACTTTTAGAAGGGCTATCTTTTTATTGTAGTACCAACCTGGATATTGTGTTGTTCGGTGTTTCTTTCTTCCTTTCTTTCCTTTCCACAAGCTGATGCTGGAGGCGCTTCAGCCGTGACGTAGTTCTCTGTGTGTTAAGTCCTGGCATTCGGCTCCTGTCTGTATAAGGGATTGGGGTGCTTCCCAGCAAACCTGCGGGAAACGGGGAGGGCGAAACACCAGACTGCCTTACTCCACCTTCTGTTCCCGTTCTCCGTGTTTCAAGGCCAAAGGCTAGGAAGGAAAGGGAGGGAAGCACTCGGCGTCTCGGCAGGCTTTCCCGGGCTGGCACCCTCTGGGTATCCGGGGGTGCAACTCCTCCTCTCATGGCCCTGTGAGCTGGGCATGATGGGGGGCGGAGTCCAACCCCTGAGGAGGAAGGCTGGTTACGGTCTGCGGGGGCCATTGTGGTGCCCGCACTTTGTGCTGTGCCCAGAGGACCTCCCGGGAGAACGCCCCGAGTGGCTGGGGAGGCCCGGGGTTTTCGAGGGAGGACTCTTCCCGGCCTCTGAAACGCTGTCCCCAGCCTGGCTGGTGGCCTTTTTCTTTGAGGAGGCACGTGTGCCTTGTCTTCGGCGGTGGGACGGCGACGGCTTCCCCGCCACTCCGACTTTGCGTGGCTGCCTGCTTCGGCAGGCCTTCAAAGCTTAAACCGCTTCGGGAGCATCTGCCCCAGCATCGTTCGAGGCCTGCCTGCTGCGCACACCTCTTTCCTCGCACGCTCCGCGTTGCCTTGCCCGGTTTGCCCGGCCCACCTTCCCCCCCCCCCCCCCCCCCGCGCCCCGCCCCGGGGCCCCCCCCCCCCCCCCCCCCCCCCCCCCCCCGTGGGGCGCAGCGAGCGTGGCAGGCTTCCGGAATGTCCGACCGGAGTTACGCGAGTTGCGGCCTGAGGCCTCTGGGAGGCCTGAGATCGGGAAAGGCTGCTGTGTGCTGTGCTAAAGGACAATGCCGCAAGCACCCGCACACCCCCCCCCCCCCCCCCCCCACGCAGCACCTTTTGAAGACGCCACCCGCTCCAAGCAGCCGCTTGCAAGCGCACCTCTTTACAGGGGGGCTGCAGAACGGACCTGGGCTGCGATTTCTTGGCCCATCCCCAAAAGACGGACCTCTGGCAGATTTCCTGGACTGCCCCTCTCCGCCTCGCAGGTGGGTGGGACTGTGGTTCCATCACCCCCAGCAGGTTGCAGAAGGCCTTTCTCAGTCGCACCCGTCTTCCCCATGCCAGGCCCAGCCCCTCCAGTCCAGCTCTTCCCCAGTGCTGCTTGGGGCCACATGCTCCCGGCCACTGGAGGGAAGCGGGGTGCTTGGGCTGGGAGAAGCAGCGGCCTGGGAGGGCTGCCCATTTCCTGGAAGTACTGCGGGGGTGCCTTGCTCCCAGCCCCAGCTTCGCGCCCAGGACAGGCCCCAGGCAGAGCGAGGAATCCAGCCCGCGTCGGTGGCCTATGGGGAAGGATGGCTGGGCCACAGAGGCTGGCGAGATGGTGGTGGCTTTCCCGCGTTCGCCAGGAGCAAATAGCACAATATAGGACCGAAGGGGAGCAGCGGCTGGGGCAGGAAAGAGTGGAGACGAGGCTTGCTTGGGATAATTTGACACAGACGGGGCTTGCCAAGAGCGTTTTGGTTGTGGTTGCAGTTTTTTAAAAATGGATCTTCTTCCTCAATAAACAGGACATTATTCACCATCACAGTCCGGTCATGCCTTGATCCACAGGGACCTAGATAGAGGGGGCGGGAGGCAGGAAACTTAGCCGGTTGGTGGAGCAAGGTACAGCCGACCCCTCGAAACGCACAACTGGGGCAGTGGTTTCCGCGGGAACGTCCCTGGGATCCCGATCCTTCAGCATCTCAGCATCTCTCAATCGAATACGCGGAGAGCTGCATTACCCCGGGGGGATCTGTGGGGGCTGAAACCAGGAAGAGCAATGCTAAAACTTATCAGCCCCCTTCCCGACAGCCCTCCCTTCTCCCCCTACTTCTGCCACCGTCCTTTCTCCCTCCTGGAGCACTTGATCATTCGCAGAGCATTTTGGAAGGTGCGGCTGGGAAGCCAAGACGGACTTCAGAGATTTGGCTGCCGTACGACCTGCTTCAGGCTTTGCCTGGCAACCTTGTGAGTGATGAGGGATGCAGCCATGGTTTTAATGCTCTTTAATATTCCAGTCCTAAAGGCGGCGTCCCTGGATTCAGAGATGGCCGCCAATTATAGACCGGTGGCCAACATCCCGTTTCTGGCCAAGGTGCTGGAGTGGGTGGTGGCTGGACAACTCCAAGCACTCTTGGATGAAACGGATTATCTGGACCCATTCCAGTCCGGCTTCAGACCCGGGTATGGTACTGAATCTGCCTTGGTCACCCTGTACGATGACCTGTGCAGGGAGAGACAGGGGGAGTGCGTCCCTGTTGGTTCTCCTGGACCTCTCAGCGGCTTTCGAT